TGATTATCTACATCAGTAGATTCAAATTCATCAGTTGAACTAATTGATGGTAAACGTGGTCGTTGTTGATTAGTTTGTAATTGTTTTTCGAGACCAGATGAACGTCTTCGTATAAGATTTTTATCAATAAATTGTACAGATGGACGACGACTACGACGACATTGAGCTTTTTCATGATCTGATGCAGCTTCAACATCAGCATCATACTTTGTCGTTGACATATTTGCTCAATCGAGGAAAATAAAATGTTTGTCAAATGAGAAGAAAAAAAACGACTGTTGAAAAGACAAAATACGATAATAGCAAAACTATATAAGCGTACGCACACACGCACACACGGACTGATCGAATGCAGGAAATGAAGAAAACGACTATGATGAAAAGAGGTGTTTGTGTTTTTTTATATATGTCGTTTTCTCTGTGTCTGATGGAAGGACAAGAATGAGAAACAAGAACTGATATGGGACTATAACTTGCTTCGTACATCTTTTTTTTCTCTTGGTCGTTTCTTTTTTTCTTCCTTAGGAGTTTTTTCCTATTCTTCTTCGGCTTTTTTTTTCCCCTTTCTTTTTTTTCTCTAATGCATTTAAAGACATGATGATTAGGGAGGAAAAAACTAAAGGAAGAGAAAATAAGCTAGCTAGAACTCACACTCGTTTTCGAAGACATTCCCTGAGGCATGAGAATCATCTTCTTCTGTCATAGTTGATGATACTTGGCTTGCTAACGTTTGAAAAGCTTTCTTATCGAGAAATTGAACTGATGAACGTCGACAAGTACGATTTTGTTGTTCATTTGCATAAACTGGACTAGTGCTAATAGTAATTGGTTCGATAGTGTTAATTTGTCCATTTGTATGATTACGATTTTGATTAATATTTTCATCACTATTTTCAGAAGAAAACATGCGACAAAATTCTGATACTGGTTCAGAATTTTGATTTCGTGAACGTTGTTGTCCACTATGTGAATGAAATGAGAATATACGTTTTAATGCCATATATTTTGTAGACAGAATTATAATGTCGACGATAAAGTGAAGAAAAAAAAACAGGCAAATAAATGGTGTGTAGTATTTGCAAAAGCAAATTTTTCTTTTTTTTTTTTTTTGCTGAAGTAAGAACAACAACAAGAACAATAACACAAACAAAAGCTCTTTTTCGTTCTTTATCACAACGCTGTTCTTCTTTACACTCTTCCGAGTGGATGGATGAATCAATAATAATTCCGATTTTCTTTTACTAATAGGCTAATGTACTTATACGTCGTTTTTCTTTTTTTTTTTTTTTTGGTGTCCTTCGTATTAACTATATAACTACGTATGTGGATTGTAATAACAACTTTTACGTAGTTAGTATGTAAATAGACACAAAAAAAATGAGTAATTCTTATTCGTGTGCTAATATAAAAAAAAACATTGATAGCTGATGACAATTTTTATTGATTTTCAAATTGATTATTTGATAGTTATTATAATGTTTTGAAAAAAAGTACTTATACATACGTTCAAATATTTGTATTGGTTGTTCAACATTTGAAAAACGTCTTTCAATTATATTTGAATTAGCGCGTGATCGAGAATTATATGGTGTTAGAGAATCAACAGTTAATTCATGTGGATTTATTTGTTGTTTTAGTGGATGATACATTGTCGTTACATTACTATGATTGACATCAACTAATGAAGTTGAATAGATGCCTGGTACAGGTTTTGATAAAACGTTTTTATCCATTTGAATTGGTTCCAGAATCAAATAAACGCCATACACTAATACTTATAATGATCTGATCATAAACACCAACCATCAGACGAACATTGGAATGAATGACATTCAACAGTAGCAATGTGTATTACTTCAATCTCGCCTCACACTTTGCTTTTTATCTTTCATCATTCCAACCAAAAAAAAAAAACAATATATATATATATATAATGCCTACCATGGCATTATCTTTCTCTTCCATTCTATTTCAACTCTATATATATATATGCAAAAAGAAGAACAAGATGGTTTATGACGCACTTAAAAAAAAAACAACTATGTGTTCTGGAATTTTTCATATACCTATGAAATTTCATCTATGTTTTATCTATTAGATTACTTACTGCCTTCAGATAAGACTGAACTTTGTGAATATGAATATTGTCGTCGTGTTGTTGGATCAAGACAAATGCGATGCTAGAATAAATAGAAAAAAGAAATTCGATTATATATTCAAAAATCTTTTGAAAAAGAACAATACATATGAAAAAAAAAGGTAATTATTTGAATATTAAAAGAAAAACGAAAAGAAAACATAACTAGGCTTCTTACAATCATAAAAATTTCGTAACCTTTTAGATTATAAAATAGAATTCATAGTAAATTTGTAATCCATTGAGAATTTTTCGAATAAATTCTATTCGATCGATCAAAGAAAAGTTATGATGTTATGACTCTTTCCTAGAGGATGATCATATGACACTTCTTCAAATATGTAAACTCTACACAAAAGTAAAATGTGTGAAATTTCTTCAGTATGCAAATAAAATTTATTATTAGAAACCTAATTTACACATAAGAATAAAAGAGAATTGACTGTAACTTCAATAGAATTCGATAACGACAAAAGCGAAATTCAGCCATCGAAAGAGAAGAACCCCTGATGTTTGTTTTGTCTGATATTGTACAAGATAAAATTATTTTAAAATCTACCATCTTCGCAAAATATTCAAAAAAATGCATAACACCGATGTTCTGTTTCGATGTAATTTTGATTTTGACATATGGGCTAAATCAGACAAAACGGAATATTCGCAACTTTCATTTGAGTTTTATTCTCTATAAAAGAGTGAATTTTTCAGATAAATTCTTTTAGCATAGACTTTTATGTAAATTTTTGGTCTTTCATATGATTATTAATTAAAATTAATTAATTAAAAAGTAATTAGCGAATATCTCGCTAACCATATGAGAAAGAAGTCTGCAAACTTCAGAATATGTTCTAGGACACAAGCTGTATTTATGGTAAAATTTTCAGCAAGATTGGACACCAAAAAATTTCTTCCGAAAAATCGATTTTCTAGAGACTCTGAGTAATGATTTATTACAGCTGTAGTCGATTTCGAACTTTTCAGTTGGTTACAAGAGCACCATCTTGATTGTGTAGTTGTACTGCGTCGCGTCGTTAACGACAAATAAATCGTTTTTTCTTTGAAAAATCTAGGCATCCTCAGAAAAAATTTTGCATATAGATTTTGTAGCTCCAGAAGCCGTCTATGGAATGCCCTATTTAGTTTTCTAAAATTGTGGATGAATTGAAAGTTTTTAAAAACTAAAATACACGAAAGAAAAATTGATGTCCTTTTTTGTGTTGTCATGCCGCTAACGGTAGTTTTCTACTGATAATTCCTCTGAACAAAGCTCCATAGCGCTGATTTTTTTAAGCTATCTAGAGTAACTTAATATCCATGCAATATATAAAAATTAGATCTAAGAAAGCTTATTATCTCGAGATACATATATTTTAATTTTGTGAAGTCACGTCGCTAACAAATTATTTAGCCTATATGCTTCGGATCTATAGCGCAAGGCACGATTCACTGATTATCTTCTCCTATATGGTGTAAGATAAGTTTTGACTCTCTCATGCAATATTGTTTTCTCACATGGTTCTGTATTATTGGCTGAAACTGACATTCACCATACATCCACTAAACGTCTAAATCTATTCTATACTAGAATCTCAACTTTTTGCTTATTGTTATGATTACACAGATACAAATGATATCATACTCAAAAAAAGAAATTTTTCCTAATTATTTTTGACATCATTACGGATGAGAAAAATTCTAGTCATTCGAACACGTACTCACTACGAGCAACGTGTGCTTTTCTGTATATAATTCTTCCGTTCTGTAATTTGTCCATACCATTATGCAAGCGCACGATTTACTTGCCGATGATTATATAAAAATAATTTTTTCAACTAA